CAGACCCCGACAACAATGACGTGTTGTGTGTTGCAACACATGTGGAATATCGGCCATGATTAATTATTTTTGGTTCTGTTTTAAATTTCTGACTGCAAACTATTTGTTCTCATGCAAAAGTGGGTACTATGAATTGCTTCTTATATGTACATTGTGTTGTTCTTGTACAGAGAGAAGAGAAAAAGGACTATGCTGCCGAGGTGCGGTTTGTAGACGAACACGGACGCACGCTTGCCAGAAAGGTGCGTCAGTCCTTTTTTCATTGTATACTCTCATATTCCACCACATAGCCCCAAGCCAAATGTTGAAAGCAGATTTGACAACAAAGCCTCTATAATTTGTTGTCAAATCTGAGTTAAGGGTAATTTCAACTCTAAAGAAGGAAGTCATAATTGAATTAAATGTATTTAATCGTTGTGAGTGTGAGACATAACCATCATCGTGTCATTGTTGTCTGTATCTTGGGACTGCAGAGAGCCACATCGGTCGGCTAACGGAGAGACAAGTTTTTTGGTTACATGTAGAGGCTTCAGCAGTTAACTGGTCCGAGTCTTGTTTCCTTCCCTCCTCCCTGCCTCCTTGCTCCAGGTGGGGGTGGATGAGAGAAAGGGCGCTCAGTCAGCGCAGCGCACCAGTCTGCGGAGAGTTAAACACTGAAATACAAATACTGCCCGGTCCTCCAGGTACGGGACACACAACAAGCACGAGTGCATCCCAGTGCTTGGACAGAGCCTATACAGCAACATATCAGACTTAAAAGTCTCTCACTTGCTGTTCCATTTCTGTGCAAAATTAGAATTTGGGCATAAATGATTTGGCATTCAATTAAACTTTTTGTTTTATTTTGGAAGGGCAAATTCACTTTTTCTGGGTTTTGTTTGTAAATGCTGTTTGTCTCTTTTTTTTCTAGGACCGGAAAGCCACTGCCAAATCATCCTCCACAAAAACACAACCAGAGCGCAGATGGAAATGAGAGGAAGGGGAGGAGAGGAAGCATGAGACAAAGGCCGTTTCTCAATGTCGAGTAAACCTGCTGCAGAGCCACTGTTTCAAGTATACTACGTCATCGAGTGGCGCCGAAGGACTGTTTAAATGCATGTTAAATGCCCAGCATTCTGCGCCACTCGATGACGTAGTATACTTGAAATAGTGGCTCTGTAGCAGGTATACTCGACATTGAGAAACGGCCAAAGACTTAAGAAGTGCAAACTACAAAATGACAAACACAGAAACATCCTCAACGTGTGACCATGGAGCACCATGAAAGAAAAGAGGAGTTCAACTTGTAGTTTTATAACATTTGTAAAGAAAAATATCAACTAGACTAAGGCATGATTCTTCTTCTTCTTCTTCTTCTTCTTTTTACAAAAAAACATAAATGTCAGTAAAACAACCGAGAAAAAAAAACAAAACAAAAAGTGCTTCCTGTGAACTGTAATCGCATGATGACTGCTGGTGCATGCCCTTTGACCTTTTGAACTGTCATTATCTACAAACTGAAGGGGTACAAGGTACGGGGCTGGCCCACGCTGGGGCCTTTTTTAAGGACCCTATTCCCGCCAACAGGAGTTGTGTGTGTCGGCAAGTTGAGTCCAATAAACAAAAAAATATCGATCCCTCGATGGACGGTTCCGTATACAGCTAAGCTCCTGCTGAGCCTACTGATGCTTATTTCACTGTCCCCTATTATTCTCAATGTGATATATGCACTCTATGCTACGTGGACATGTGTCAGTGTGTGTGTATGTGTGCGCGTATTCTCTACCGCATGTGTTTCTTGGCTTGGAGCTGAGCCCTGCCTCATGATTGGCTCTTGAGCCCTGTGATGTCACGGCGGAACAAGAAAAGCCGCCGTGCTCTGCTCCCCCCCCCGCTCGTGAGTGTACCTGTCTGCGTGTGCTGCTAACGTCTTTTCCTTTGTGGATGAAGCTTGTGTGTTTTTCCGTTCCTTCGGTCCACCTTGGTTTTTTAAGTATTTGTCCGACCAATGTGAGTAACATTTTGCCCCTGGTGTTTTCTTTGGATAGGGGTTGGTTGCTTGATTGTATTGTGCAGCGGCTCGACGTCACAAAGATTTCCTCCATCGTGACCTTTTTCTAACTTCTTCCGTCATTTCTCCAAGTAGCGCGCGGCATCTTGATTCACGATCCTTATCAGTAGCCTCAGTCAATATGCAGTTTAAAAAAAATCACAGGCCTCTTTATCAGCATTTATTAGCTCCTACATTTAACGCTGAAAACTTTGCATGTGCTCCCTCTTTATCTGTTTGAAACAGCTGTAGCACCTCACCGTCAACATGTACATTCATTCATTTGAACACAGTGGTTGCATCGTAAACAAGGATTCACCTGAGGGTACAGGGATTTGTAGTTCAATGGTAGCAGGCGTAAAATAGCATCTTGCTACGAGAGTACAACATGGGATTGTGACAGACAGGTAGCACTGTGATTGTCTTATTAACACTGACCCCAGACTCGTGAACTGTGAAGACACACAAACAAAAGCACACGCACATAATCAGAAACATGTGACACAAAATAAAACGTATTGCCTAGTCGGAGTGTCCGATTTTGGAGTTTGCCACAGCAATAATACTTAGCAAGAACAATGAAGATGCTAGCCAGGGTTCTGGAAATGTACATGATTTGGAACAGTGTAGATGACTAAATCTCTGAAAAAGCATTTGAGTTAGGCATCAGTCAGATACAGCTCTAGTATGAGAGGGATTCTTTGTTTTTCAGCACCTAACGTAGCAACAATTACATCAGGTTATGTTACCGTACCGAAAAAAAGGAGTCTGCTGCCGTAACCTAGCTCCATTTGTGTTTTTGATTCATTTCTTTATTATTTTCATACACTGACGTCACTGCAAACCGCCCATCGTCCTCTTCATCTCCAAAGCACTTCCTTTATGCAGAAACCTGACGGGGTCGTACCATAGTAGCACATTTAATGGGACAATATTGAAGTACTGTACATGCTACTGTAGCCTGAATGAGTGAGACGCCGATTGAATGAATGAATGAGCGAGTTCATTAGTTCTACATCACACAAATGCACATGTTTTCATGCCCTGTCCGTGCATACAAGCCTCATCTGATATAGCACATGTTTATTACATATCACACGTTTTCCACTGTTACTCCACTCAGGTTTTCCGTTCTGCTCGGTCAGAATCAAAATGTTTCCTTCCTTTTTAAGTTCCAAGTCCTCCTTTCACAGACGAGTGAGGGACACAAAGCGAGTGTTTCTGAGGAAGACTTTGGTGTTTTGGGCGGGACAGGGATGTAAGGGAGGGGGGCAAGAGCAGGATTGTGTGTGTGTGTGTGGAGAGCTTACTTATAACAAGAAAACATTTTCTTTTCTGGATTATGAGAAAAGTATTAGAGAAGGGATTCTGTCTATCAGGTGCGCCACCTGTACGCTAACATGTAGTTGGTATTAATCCATTTTGAAAATTAAGATATTCGATGTGGCCACCCAAAAAAGATATATGGCTGAAGTTTATTTTAATGTAATTCTTCTGCTTCCTTCCTGAACGATAACTTAGATTTGCAATTTGAATCAAACAAGTCAGTGAGCCTTTGTAGTAACATCAGTACAACTCCAGTGTGTGTGTGTGTGTGTGTGTGTGTGTGTGTGTGTGTGTGTGTGTGTGTGTGTGTGTGTGTGTGTGTGTGTGTGTGTGTGTGTGTGTGTGTGTGTGTGTGTGTGTGTGTGTGTGTGTGTGTGTGTGTGTGTGTGTGTGTGTGTGTGTGTGTGTGTGTGTGTGTGTGTGTGTGTGGTGTGTGTGTGTGTGTGTGTGTTTGTTTTGATTGGTTTGAAACCTTGTTGGATCAGGGGGAAGAAAAGAGAGTTTTAACCAGACTTGTGACCTGAGAGGACGTGTAACCTATGGCGATGTATTTAAAAAAAAAAAGAGTATTGTAAAATTAACTGTGGCGAAAGAATAGAGATCACCTATACTCCTTTAGAATGGATACATGACAATGTAAACGCAATATCATATTAATCTATCCTAAGGAATGCAACTGCGCACATGCAGAAAAAAATCCGTTTTTATGAAAATATGTGTATAAATATATGACAAAATATATTTAATTAGAATGCTATGCACCCTCATAGAGTTGTTATGGATGTTCTTTAAGCATTATCTAGAGTAGGCCAACGCCCACATCATGGGGAATGTAGAGGCTTCGTAGCTATGACCACTTGTTTTATTTTATTTTGTATTGTCCTGGAGAGAGGATAAACAAACGTGAATATGTATACAAGCCTTTCAATCAGAATCATTCTGACATATGTATAGATCATCTTACCCTGTACACCAGCTCAAACCATTTACAAGACTTAATAAACAAAGATGTGACATTAATGTGGTGTCCTGTTTTTTGTAAAATGGGAAATGAGTGCAGCTTTTATATATATTTTTATATTCAATAACATTCCTACATTGACTATTGGGAGTTTAAAGTGCTATAGCTTTTATGGTGTTTTCTTTATTTTCATTAATGCTTTATGTTATGGGTCTAACATATCAAAACCATACAAAATGCTTTTTTTATTTTATTAGCAATTTGATTTATATTATAGAACTGCTCCAAATACATATAGGTTTTTATAGTATTTCTTGTTGTAGATTGTATTGGTTGTATAGATTGATGCTTACCATATAAATTATACCATAGAAAACCATTTTTTTAAATATTTAAAAATATTATGAATTTGTTGTTTTTTAAAGTAGGCCTACACATAATATTTGTACTTCATAATACAATCGTTGGGTATTTTAATGGATGTTTCCTATGACTACAAATATTTTTTTAATTACATGAAAAAGTTTTTTTGCATGTAATTTTATAACAAAATTGTATTTTTGTTCTTTATATCACTGTGAATACTTTTTTATTAAGGATTGAAGTTGTATCTGTGATTGATAGAGCAGCCTGCAGATCCGGAAGAAATAAAACCTCCTCGTGTTGTGATTGGCTGGAAAGGGGGCGTCCACATGTTGTTTTGAAGGAGGTTCCTGGAATGTTTTGGACCTTCTCTGACCACGTGGAGGCTCAAGGTAACTTCTCAGCGTCACTGCGTGTTGAGCACCTGACGCAGATAGCCCTGTCTGTGGCCTTTAAGTATTATTAAAACAGAACCGTGTTGTGAGACATGTCCGCGGCAGGCCAGCCCACCAGGAGCCAGAACATCCCGGCCGTGAGACGGGTCACCATCCACGATGCTGCCCACATGCCGCAGGACTACTCCACGACCCCCGGGGGGACTCTGTTCAGCACTACGCCAGGAGGTAACGAAGAACTGGGTCTTGTTATTGGGTTTAACATAGTTTAAATACTATATGCATTAAGAGAAAGATCAGTAATGAAAGGGGGGGGCATTTAAAGGGACACTTACATGGAAAATCTGCACGACATTTCTGAAGAATGTCACGTTGATCCTGAAACCAGCATTTCAACATGTATTTAGTTATAGGGAGATTCATTGAGAGTTACTTCCCTTTCTCACAAACGCCCTGATCACGTTCACACAGGCTGTGTTCAAAAACACTCGTTTTTTATATTATTTTCTGCAGCTGCCCTAAGGAAGTATGTACTGTATGCAGTATGCATACTACGGCCCAATCGCAAACCACGTCCTACACCCTACCCCTTACCCCTACACACTACCCCTCCGTGACGGAGTGAACTCCGTGGAGTGACACTCGCAGATCAACGAGGCTCCCTCCTGTCAGATGGAGGGAGTAAATACAGCAGCAAGCTTTGGGACAAACTCCCCTCTCTCCGGTAGAAACAGGAAATGCCGTAACTGTATGTGACAACGGTTTCAAATCAGCATCTCTTAGGCAAAAAAATAAAATTAATAACTAAAATAAAACTCCAAACATCTTTAATTGTGTTACTTTTTTGTAAAGCTCTTAGTTTTAAACCTGATTTTTATAAGCTTCTTAGTTTTTGCAACAATCTGTAAATATACACAACTTTATAATAAAATGCACACATTTACCTTTTTCTATCTAGACTAACCACAGGTATACGATCCTAAGTTAAACAAATATGAGGTTATCATGAGGTTCTTAACATCGCAATTTATCAGTGGATGTTTGCTGGAACTACGGACACACACACACAGCGTTGAGACCGGTCAGGTAGAGAAACCACACCGCTCCACACTCGTTGGTTTGGAACAGCACGGCGGACCCTCAGCACAAACGCGCAAACGGAGGGGTAGGGTGTAGGGGGCGGATTGGGCCTACGTCACAACACTTGGACTTGACCCTCTTGCTCATATCAAAACCACAAAGCATTATGGTTGAGACATGCCAGTAAAGCATGCTGGATGCAAACTGCAAAAATAGTAACAGGATGCACTATTTTTGGCACATACGTTTGACATGCTGCACAGTATGGGAGCATGGGTATTGGAACGCACCACATATTGCACATTCTCACCTGGAAAGGTCATTTTCCCTCCCAAATTCTGTTATTCCGGGGATTGAACCTATGACCTTCTTATCAAATGTTTGCCTATCTGACCTATTAGCCGCCACTTACCATTATGACCCCAAATGTTGCCAGATTTGTATTTTAAACTGCTCCAATTCACACAGTATGTTGGTTAAATGTAATATCTCTGTGTTGCCATAGATTTAAGTGAATGGTTTGTACATTTAAACATTACTCCATGGATTTATATTTGGATACGCTATGGGAAAAAAGTGAATAATCCTACCAGATAATAATAATGTGTTTTATTTATTTCTATATTGTGGCATTTAAACTGTTATTTATAAAGGAAATTTAAAATATTTGATGGTTTTGGCATCGTCTGTGTTCAGTGTGAGTAGGCTGTAGCTGCTCTCACACAATCGAGTATGTTCAAATATAGCCCGTCCTCGGTCCCGTCCTATTTATAGTCTTGTTATTACAGCAGGCTGCTGTTTAGCTGCAGCAACTTGTTTACTAGAGTTTGGCTTCACCAGGACAAGTGTGTTATACTAGAGAGGAAGAACATGCGCTTATAATAACCTCATGTGTTTTAAAAGCAACATATGTTTCCGTGGATACATGCAAGATACTAAAAATGAACAAACTTTCACCTACTTGCCATGAAAACCTAAATTAGATATATATATATATATATATATATATATATATATATATATATATATATATATATATATATATATATATATATATATATATATATATATGTTTTTTGGCTCATCAACCGACTAAAAGCCAGTTTCACACGCATCAACACGCTGAGTTATTGGCCAATTTATTCCGCATGCTTTGCTCATATATCTAATCTTGACACCTTGGGAAATCTCCAGTGTGTTGACAAGAGTGATGCAAAAAAGTGTTTTCACTCTGCTGCGGTGAGAAAGTTACACATGTCGTCCATTATATTTGATAGTGTGTTCTGCCACAGATGAGGGCAGATTTACACAGATAAGACAGAACTGGTGCAGGTACGGTTAGTGGACTGATCTCGGGGACAAAAAGAAATGGGTCATTGGTCATGGGCGTGTGTGCAGTGAACACACAACAGTCCTCTTAAAGGGGAACAAGAAGTACTGCACAATACTGTGGGATGGATGAGGGATCATACATATCTTTAATACTTTCTTTATGTTAATAATGATTGCATTATTTTTCATTTATATTGTGCTATACTTGGAGGTATATTTTGTTAAATTGTATTAGATTGAGTTAAATGCTATTTATTTTGTATTTTATACCTAATAAACAAGTTACCAGTTTTAAATGTATGCTTCTACATCTTCTTGAATATATTTTAATAATGTTTCCACTGGTAACAAATGTTAAATGTGGAGATTAGTTGCTTAGATTTTTGTTTAAATTAATAATAATAATAATATATTTTATTTAGAGGCACCTTTCAAAGCACCCAAGGACACCTTACAATTCAGAAATGATTCTATATTTATCTTTTTCGAACTGGTTAGAATTCTTCAATGTGGATATTAGCTGCTGAATTGTATTTTATTTCATTTTATTTTTAAGTTAAACTGACTCAAGTGCTATTTAACTGAATGTACACTATGAATACAGCTGTAGCACATTTTTGATCTCCTAAAATTCAACATATCAAAATATATGGACAATAATTAACTTTAGAGTCTTTTCTGCTGCTTCCTACAGGTACCAGAATCATCTACGACAGGAAGTTCCTCCTGCAGTGTCGGACGTCTCCCCTCGCCCGCACCCCCCCCAATCTGCCCGACATCCCCGGGGTCACCAGGCCGCTCAAACCCAACGACAGAAACCAGCCCGAACAGACCCCCCCCCTGCAATAACTCCGACCACAGCCTGCTTACAGAGGAGAGCACAGGTAAACAGATCTGTATATCTAAAAAAGGACATGAGCAGCCATTATCCACTTCCTTCTTCTCACTCCAATGTCTTTTCTTTCTCTTGTAGACGACCAGTTTGAAATGGATATCTGAAGAGCCTCTGCTGCAAGGATAAAAGTGATTCCCAACATTTGTATTTCTTTTTTTTATGTCCAGTGACATAAGAAGCATAGTCTTACTGAGCCAGGTAATCTTCCTTCAGATTCGTTCTGAAAACGAGATGGCATTGTTTTGTTATTGTAATGCTTAATATGTGTAAGAATGTTGTTTTCTTACGAAACAACATGCATGCATAATTGTTTCTTTACTTTGAATAGACTTGACTTTGTATGACCTTTGACATATTTGACAAGTAAGTCAAAGTCTTGTTGAAATTAAACAATCAATATTTTATTTTATGTGATTTGACTCATTTGATGACTTTTAACAGGTCTTAAAATTATTCAATGTTTCACAGATAAATTACTGAAATTATTTGTTGGTTATACGATGTAAATCAAGAGCCAGGGACTCTAAAAGGAGAACACATTTGTAAGCACCCCCTTATGATCGTAACACTGAAGCCTATTCTAACTAGTACTTTTGTTAACATCCAGCAGATACAGAGCAACATTAGCATTCATTTGAGTAATGTTCCTCACCACCTGACCTGCTAAATCTAAGTCTGATATTCAGCTCTGTTTTGGTCGTTGTTACGTCGCTGCACCATGTTCACCATAGCTAACTTTGTTACCTGATGGATACAGTAACTAAGTACATTTACTCAAGTACTGTACTTAATTCCATTTGTAGGGACTTGAGTATTTCCATGTTGTGCTACTTTGTACTTCTACTCCTCTAAATGTCAGAGGTAAATCATGTACTTTTACTCCACTACATGTATTTAATACCTTTAGTTACTTTACAGATTTGATAAATGATGTGAAATATAATCAACTCTTAAATCAGACTTGAGTTACACCTGGAGTAAATTCACAAGCTATCTGCAGTATACAAAGTCATTAAAACTAGCTGCACCTTTACCAGCTTTGATAACACTTGAATGCATCAATCATTATAATCAAAACATATAAAATATGTTATTCTGAAATGTTTACTTTTGGTACTTTTAGTATATTTTGATGCTTGTACTTTTTCTTGAGTAACATTTTGAATGCAGGACTTTTACTTGTAAGAGTATTCCTACACTCTGGTACTTGTACAAGATCTGAGTACTTCTCCCATCTCTGCTGTTTGAAAAGTGTATTTGTAAAACTGATTCCTGGAAACCAGTGTTTATATTTGAACACTCAAATGCCTGCTGTGCCTCATAGCATAGCAACCCTACAAAGTTAGAGGAAATGAGCCACTTTTAGGCTCTTGTAAAAACCCTTAAATAAAAACCATCACACACTTTGTTCTGATAAGAAATAATTGATTGTATTAGTGTACACGTTAAACATACAAGGATCCATGTGACCCGACAACTCAATAAAGTTCAAAGCGCTTCAACCATTCTGACATTTGTAATTTCAATGGCATTAAACATTTCAGTCTTAAATACAAAAAAGAAGAGTTTGTACATAAGACCTGTACAACTACTGTTAGACTTTTCTATAGTGCTTTAGTTAATGACCATGTTTACATTATGTTTCATCTTACTGGATCACACATTACCATAATCAACCCCTCTAAACTTGAATTCATCCATTTTCAATCCAAGGTAAAACTAAGGTCCCCTGATATTTACAAAAAACTACAAATCATTTACAACTCTTGATTTTCCAAATCCATTATTTAGAGCTGTGTCCAGGATAAAGCTTGTCCCTTCCTTCCTGCCAGCTGCCTCTGTCCCAGTGTCAGACTGGACTTCTGTAAAGTGCCTGTGATCCTCCGTCCACTGTGTGTCTCAGTGGCTCAGTTTTAGTGTTGAAGACTTTTCTGGGCCTTCTGCTCGATTCTATTTCACCTTTATCCAAAAGGTTTTCAGGTATTTCGCTCAGTGGCAGCCGCACTCCTCCACCACCATGTTCCCGTGATGCCTCATGACCATCTTCCCCGCCTCGTAGTACAGCATGGAGAGCGGTCCCAGGTGTGTCGGCACACAGGACAGGCACGACACCTTGTCTGGGCGGTGGAGCTTCAGAAGGCTCTGGAAAGATAAAGAGATACAATGATGGATTAGACAACATGTAGGGTATCATTGGTAAAACTCATTACTGGAAACACTATACAAAAAGAGATCTCTTAAACTCAGTCTTACCTGCATGTACGCATGGTTGGTTGGAGTGAAGGTCTCGTCCACTGGGTTGGGGCAGCTCCCCTCACAGCGGTAGGCGTTGTACTGTTTGGGATAGACGATCCACTCGCTCCAGCCGATCTTCTCAAAGTCTACCACCATGCCCACCCTCCTGCAGAGAGGACCCTTCTCCTCCTCCTCTGTGGGCTTGCTGACAGGGGCCGCTTCCGCCACTCCCTCCGTCTGGTGCTGGGTGTGCTGGTGCCTGTTGGCCCTGCGGCTCCTCGGCTTGGAACCAGAGCCAGGGGCCACTCTCTCCCGGTCAAAGCTGACGTACTTGGAGTGCTCTGCTGTGCGGATGAGTGTTGGCATGCGCTGGCTGTTCAGGTTCTGCCTTGAGAAGACCACCATCATGACCCGGTCAGCAGTAAGGTGTTGGACTCCCTCCTGCTCTTCCTCCTCCTCTTCCTCCTGTGTGGTGTGCTCCTGCTGCAGCCAGCGACTGAGCACCCCCGTCATGTTGACCACCTTCCAGGAGGAGGGGGATACCGTGGCACCGGGGTGAGCTTTCAGGCGGCCCAGGAACGTCCTGTTCTCTGAGCAGTGCGTGCCGGAGCAGCGCCCCCTGTGTGAGTGGTAGACGTCCACTGAGGCTCGGGGAGACTCGGTGAAGGCGGACAGGCGGATGCGAAGTTCTGCCAGCTGGATGTTGTCGCTCGCAGACATGGAGGACAGGTCAAAGGTAACGGACCACCTTTTGCCAATCTGCTGGCAGCCTGAAATAAATAAGAGTAAAAAAAATGTGTTAAAATCTTCCATCACTTACTGTAAAGGTGGGGTAAGTTTGAGAAACCGGCTCGAGATACACTTTTTGTTATATTCCATGGAATGCTCTTAACATCCCGATAGCAATAAATATCTTAAGTGCTTTGACAAAAAATCCATAAAGAAATGTCATCTGTGGAAGCCGTAGTACTGTAAAAAGCACGACTTTTGCACTTGTGCACAGATGGAAGGCTGACAGGTAGGCCATCCAGTTATTTTACCCTACCTTTAAAGAATAGAATGCATTTCATTAAATTTGGGACTGCAAAAACAATTTCTCATTAAACATGTGATGATTTGACAGCTTGTATTCCTTATAAGGGAACTGCAAGCATGCCAAAACACATTCATCATTTTTTGATGAGGCAAATGATTAAATTAAGGTGGGTAAAAATAATACAGGTATTTATCAAAAGGAACTGCAGAAATTTAATATTTCTTATATATATATTAAATATATGTATCCGATTTATGATGAAAACTCACTTTTAGCGACCAGGCTGATGACAGAGTCGGAGTCCTGCATGGCAGGGTCCTCGGTCATCGTGTGGCTCAAGCTGTTGGCCAGGGTCTTGGCCCGCTCCTCGGTCAGCACGGTCCGGTAGAGCTGCATCATGTAGAAGGGCAGCCTGCTGCTCTGCTTCCTCTGCAGGATGCGCTTGGAGCCGCCACTCATCCCTCGGAGCAGTGAGTCAGGTTGCATCCCGGGAAAAGGCTGTGCGCCGAGACACACAACCAAATCCACCAGAAGAAGAAGCGCAAAAGATAAATCCATAGGTCCCTTCATAATTCCTTAGTGTGATGTTGTCTCTTCCACAGGTAGATCCCAAATGCTCCAGATGAGATGCTGAGGCCAGGATTTATAGTCCCACCCCTTTCTCCTGACGGTCTTTGAAGAGCTGCCAATCCGGAGGGCGTGTGTGATCCAGGGGGGCGCTCAAAGACTTTAATGTTACATGGGTCGTTGTGTATCGAAACCAATTGCCTTTGTAGTGGTACAAGTGTAAAATGGCACCACTCTGACTGTTGTTGTTTTGGGTTAAAGATCCCTTTGATAAGAAGGCATGACAATAATATCAGTTAAGGAGATTACGAGCTGCATGCGCTGTGATTAATTGGGACGTAACATGGGAGTTAATCAGAATGTTAAACTTACCATCAATATTTGACAAAAGTTAATGGAGATTTCCTTTTCATTTTGCATTTACAATATTGGTAAACGTTTTTATAAAGGCTTATTTGCCATATCTTTTGAAAAGGAACAATCACTTTTTGGCATAGTTAGTATTACTTTAAATATAGTTAATAATTATAAACAAATACAATAACCAGACATATTCAACAAAGACGCTATTTAGAGATACATCTAGTGCTTCTGCTGATGTGTGAAAATTATGTTCCCTCGCTAATTTTGTGGAAATCTTATCTCATTCGTTATGATGGTTTTATTGAATTTCTTTGAATGCTTATTTGTTGTGTTTATTTTTAAACTAAAGGTTTAAATGTTTTATCTAAAGACCTATAATAACAACAATTATAAAATCATTTATATTGATATTGAAACTGGGCAGGAGGGTGTGTGATCATTCTCAACATGCAAAATGTATACATATAAAAAAATATCACGATATGTTTGTCTATTATTATTTTTTTAAATAGATGTTATGTGTATACATTTATCTCAAATACATGGGTTTTTATACTACACATATTTTCAGGTGAGCTGTAATAATCCACAATTTTAATTTTAATAAAAGATGTAATACAGCCACTTTCAGGTTATAATCTGCCATGATAAGTGACAGCAGCATCTTGAAAGGAACATTAATGTGTCGGACATGGCAGATAATCGTTGCCCATTCATAAGTCAAACTGCACACTTGAGCTCAAAGGAAAGCAGAACGTGTTGATAACAAACTACAAAGCCTTGATGAGCATATAAACTTGAAAAGAACCAAATAAATGCCATTAGTGCCATAAGTCTTGTTCTATGAAAGTTCTTAATTGACACGACATGAAACAAACTTTTGTTTGAAACAATATATTGCACGTTTGGAGCAAGAGTGTAACAGAAGTGCAAAACATTAGTACAAAATCAACTGTAGCATATTCACTATAACGAAAACCAAACTTAAAACAATGTGTGTTGCTTCACGGTGTGGAAAGTAACTTTATTTAATTAGGAACTGTAAGTCCATTCAAGTAAAGAACAATTTCGAGTTACTTTTAAGAGGTATACTTCACCTGAATATGTCCATTCTTATGCTTCAAATACTTCTAATCCACTATATTTATTTGACAACATTAGATTCGTTTTTAGATTTACATTATTAATACATACATTATTATAATATTAGGCTTCTCATCAGAATAAAAAATAGTCGAACTGGGCCAATATTTACAAGCTGCAGCTATACATTATAATATTGAGACAAATGTACTTTTAGTTACATTATATTTGTCCTTAAATAAATTGTTGAATTAACTTTTATTCTGTTGTATTGTTACTTTTACTTGAGTAAACCTTCTGTGTTATGAGGTTAAATCTATTACAGCTGTTATAAGAAAGATCATTTGAAACGTTTTTAATGTTTTATATCCCTATAATCTCGATAATTGTAGTTATGCATTTATCTGGCAAACCCTGTCTTGCATAACTTATTTTTTAGTTTAACTTATGGACACAGTTTTACCTAAAGAAAAGGTACCAATACACGAATAGTTTACGTTCAATCGTTCTGTGCGTAAAAGGCTAATGCTATCCAAAATGCCCACGGCTTTATCACATCACAGAGAGCACTTCAAGAGGGAATAACACCAGTAGCAATTCACTGCTCCGAAAATGTATATTTAGGTGAGTTCAGTTGTGAGTGTCAACCTACAGTACTTCAAAACTTTTGAAGTAGGTTGACACTAACTTTTGAATCAAAAGTCAGTGACTTCAGACACTCTATAATATGATCGTTGCCCATCATTGGTCAAGGGGACTTTATGCTAGGTACAAAGCTTTGATTATTTTTTTAATCGTTTTTAGTGTAAACACGCTAAACCTTTCCAACACTCACATCACTGGAAGTAAGTGTAAGCCATTGGACAAAAGGCAGCACATGAACAGCTCGCTCTCTTTCAAATGAAACCACATTAAACAGATCTACCACATCTGAGGTGTGTGGAGAACATTCCTTAGAAGTTATCGCATGTCGTTTTAGTGAAATTACCTTTATTTAATTAATTTAGGCTACTTGTGCTTTTTGGGAATAGCCTACGGCAACATTTTCAATAAATGAACAAACATAAATATATATATATATATATATATATATATATATACATTTCCAAACCGGATTAAATAACCACAAAGTCAATCAATGAATTATGTTGATTATGTGCGTTTTGTAGTAAATGTTTTATAGCCTACAACGTAGCCTATATATTTGTGTGTAAACGGAAGTGAATATCGCACGCGCACCTGCAGCAGGTGAAGCTGATTAAAGCATTTCCTGCAGGTGAGGCTGTTTCTCGCGACGAGCCGCCGGGCCAACATGGACTTTCGACACTTAATTTGCTCGATTTTCCTGGCAATTCTGAGCATTTCCCAAGGTAAGAAACATTATATTAGTTTTTTAAGGCATTATACCTATTAAGCGAGTTTGTTGGCCTACAATTAACACTCAAGCACGTTTCCACAAGTTCTTCAATTTCAGCCTAAACACGAACAAGGCAATTTCGCGTACATTTCTGCACCCCATGGTTCAGAGATAAAATATTTGTTTGGAATGCTAGTTACTCTGTTTTGTTCATGCGTTTTTATAATACAAATGTTCCTCTGTCTCTTTTCCTTTTTTGTGTAACGTTTGGGTCAAAACAATTTATGAGTTGGTGAAAATAGGTAGTTATATTTATCAAAAATATACCCATGCTGTTTTAGCTAACTTTCCTTTAACATCAATTTGAAGATGTGAAAGCAGTGCGCATTATATTTGTCCTTCTGTTTTCTCAATCGACCTTTTGTGCCGAGTTTAGACCTCCTCGGTTTATCAAAGGTTTTTCCTTTACTGTAATACTGACTTGGTGTGAGTTTGCCAGTGGCTTTTGTTGCCCACATTGTAAAAGCAATTCACCAATCATTTACAATTCAGTTTGAATTTGGCTTAATTTTTTTTAATCCTGATCTGAATAGGGGGGGTTTAATTTGAGATACATTGCACAATTCATCCAGTGAATTACTGGAAAACTCCAGTGAAAGCCAGAAATATTTCCTAAGCCTACTTCTTGAATGTTTATAGGACAAATGTTGGGATGCAGACCAGACCAGTGGCGGTGTGACGATGGAAACTGTATCCCGGATATCTGGCGATGTGATGGAGGTGGAGACTGTCTGGATGGATCTGATGAAATGGATTGCAAAGGTAGATACACTATCCTTATTCCTGTGCAAAACAACTGTTCTTTACAATAATACATTATTCAAATTGGATGATTGCTTTACTATTTTTCATAGTTTGTTTAGGAGTCTGAAATGGTTAACACAATATTCTACAGGGCAGATATTTTTAATAGGCTCACCAGAATAGCTACATCTGTTTTTATTTCAAATATGCTTCATAATAATGACAAAAACGAAGTGATGTTTCAGTCCGTACGAAATAAATCTACATCAAACAGATGAAATAATGTGGAAAACTTTTGTTCCTAAAGATAAAATGCTGGTAGACTGAAAGAGAAACTATTTCCCCCCCCTCTAGCACTTCCTGGCTCTCCTGAATGCCCCCCCGGACAGTTCCCTTGTGTTGACTCTGTCGGCTGCGTTGACGCCTCAGCTCGCTGTGACGGTACAAAGCAGTGCCCCACCGGCTCTGATGAGGAGAACTGTGCAGCGACACAGGGATGCATGGACTCTGACTGGACCTGTCGAAACCACATCTGTATCCCCAAAGAGCTGCGCTGCAATGGACTGAATGACTGCCAGGACAATTCTGATGAGGAGGACTGTGGTGAGGAATATGGAGGATTTTAATCTTATAATGCATCCACGTTTCATTGCCTACCTTCCCAAAATGTCAGACTGTGGGAAAGTAGGGCACTATGGAGTCAGTTCACCCACAATTGAACAGTTTTGCTATGTGATGACTACAAAATCAGTAAAGTTAGTGTGCTGAACATGCTGATCAAAGAAGACCGATCCAGCAAATGGATATTATGTGTGAAAAGCATGTGTTAATAGTATCAAAGTTGTGTCAAAAGATGTCGAACACAACCAAATGGGCCCCTAACTCAGGGTAGATATGAGAAAGAGTTCAATGTTGAAGTATTGATGGTCTGTTCCCTTACAGGACTGTGTGGTGAGGATGGCATACGGTGTCCTGATGGGACGTGTCTGAGTTCAGACAAGCGTTGTGATGGGACGTTTCACTGCTCGGACGCCAGTGATGAGCCCATAACCTGCGGTAGGTTTGAGACAAATTGACTTGAACAATGAGGTCTTCCAATGATGTCAATTGCAAATACAAACCACTCACAACTGTTGGTAATCAATGTCAACATAATGTTTCTGACATGTTCATGGATTTCTGTAATGCTCCTGCAGGTCGTATTTGCTCTATGAACAACGGCGGCTGCAGCCACGTGTGTGTCAATGAGCCCTGGGGAGCTTTGTGTACCTGTCCCGCTGGATATAAGCTCTCTTCCAATGGAGCAGTCTGTGAAGGTGTGTTTGGCTTTAAATAAACAAAAAGCGAACTGAAAAAAATATATATGTAGGAGCCTGCCTTTTGCAGTACATCCTTGGTCCCTTAACCCCTTTCTTTGCATACTGGAATGTTTTAAGAAGTGTCTTTTTGCAGCTTTGTAATCATCTGTTGCTAGATATGTTTTGATACTTCATGTATTTCAAGCTACAACCCTCTTTTTTTCCCTCAGATTTGGATGAATGTGCTCCCCCCTCCGCCCCCTGTATGCATCACTGCGCTAACACTGTCGGCTCATACTATTGCCAGTGCAGAGACGGATTCAAACGAAATGGAGGCACTGCATGTTTAGCTACAGGTAAGGAGGCAAAGCTTTTCCTTGTTTGTACAAATCTAAAGATGCATACAATCATCATACACTCGCATGGCCCTTCATCCTTTGGTGCCAACTAAGCCTTTTCTAGAGCCAGAGATAACACAAGACCATACACATCAACCAGCAAGCAAGTACCAAGCTGCTAAGTGTTAGTGAGCTAGTCATCAGCCTAATTGTGTTATGTGATTAACCTACTCTGGATTTAGTTTCATCCTCTGAAAAAGATCAAACCCAAATAAGAAGCATCATGAACTGAACTTGGTTAAAAGATCATTGACGTACTAATAGGTCTCTTTGATGTGCCTGAGCATTTACGAATAACAAAAGCTATCAAATGTTCAAAAGGATCAAACAGGACTTCAGATGCAAGCAGTTGAGCTGGTTTTACCGGGATGTCTCCTCAAATGTTGGTTATTTTTTCTGTCCGAATATAGTCAGTAAAGTAATCCCTCACCTTAGTAGTTGATGGATGTTTAATGAGCAGGAGGTGAAACTTAATACAATCCAAATATTCCCACTAACTGACTCTATACATTTGTCCAGGTAACGCTACCAGACTGCTGATAGTGCAGAGGAGCTCTATGGGGCTGTTAAATGTGAAGTCTCAACAGTTTGAAGTTATCCACACTCCAGTTCCTGACCCAGTGGCTTTGACTTTCGACGTTTCCCGAGGCTGGTACTACTGGGCCGACAACCGTGGCAGCATTTACAAAAGTAATGGACAGCAGAGCTGGACAACATTTACTGGTGAGTTGATCCAAGATGTGGTTGCTCTTTTTTTGTGTCTTTAGAGGTGTTATGGCAATAACAGCTGGTTTTGAATTTGAATAGTGACATGTATTTTATATATGTTGTATGAAGTTACTGAGTCAAGAGAAAATGGTAATGTTAACTAGGTAGATGTTCACCACACTGGTTAGCTTGGCTTTAACACACAATGTAAAAATGTTTGCATCTTTTTCTTTTGAAAATCCAATAGAGTTGTAATGTGTTTTCACAACTTTTGACCGATTCAACAATTTGGGTTTTTTTCCCCCTTGTTTGGGTCTGAATTTGTTTTTTTAAAGTCCTGAAAACCCCCCAACTGTGTTACCCTTTGTGGAATCCATCGGGGTCCACATTTAAATCTCAACCCTGACTGCAGAAGGTAATAGTGGCATTTCTAAACAAAAATGTCTTATTAGACGTCTGATTTATTCATTAACAGGTGAGCCTGGAATCACGGGTCTAGCTTGCGATTGGCTGAATGGAAACCTGTTCTGGTCCAATCAGAAGACCGAGTCAATCTACATGCAGTCAGCTGACGGGAGAAGTTTCACTACACTGCTGAGCAAACACAACAAACCATCAGATGTGGTGCTCATACCTGTGGAGAGGCATGCTACTTTAATTCTCTCTATCTGCTACATAGGATGAAACATAATATTATTTGACATATTTAAATGTTATTTAGTGATAACCCTGGTCTCAGTGAATTGGTAAATCTGCTTTTATAAAGTATTCAACATGGATAATTTAGTAAACTGTTGCAGAAGTATTGGAATGAGTTATTGAACAGCAAACATTCAAATCCAGCCATGGTAAATTAACCAAAATATATCATAATACACTGACCGTGCTAGTTTAAATTCTCTGCTCTGCCTCGCAGCCTGATGTTCTGGTTCAGTTCTGGCCCGGGGGACAGAGTGACGATAGAGAGGTCGTGGATGGACGGGTCCGATGGAAACACTCTGGCGGTGCTCACAGCCCAGGCGGCCCACAGCCTCACTGCAGACATCGCTGCCAGGAGGCTGTACTGGATCAGCAACTTCAAGAAGGTGAGATGAGATGTACCTTATTGATCCCAATTTAGGATTTATTTAATTCATTTTTTGTCACAGCAGCATGTTAAGAAGGCGAGAAACGGATATACATAGTGGTGGAGTTTAAATGCATTGTAATGTTTTAGAGTTATAATGCTGAGCATGCAAAATAGCAGGAAACTGAAACAGCTGAATATAATATAATTTAAATTAAAAACTTTCCATACTATCTGTATTCCACTGTTTACAGACTCTTTGTATTTCAATTTAGACTATTTCGGCCAACAAAATAAATCCATAATTTGGATTAGTTAAGGAATACTCCGGTCAGTAGTAAAACTGGACAGTAAATTGATGAATAACAAATTACCACATTTTAAGAGAATTTTAAATCTATAGGTTGGGTTACATAACTTTAAAACATTTGTTCATTTCACTCTAAGGTAATGAATGATTAGAATTAATGATGGAGAAATAGTTATACTTGCAGGGCCGTCCCTGGCCAACTTGTGGCCCCACGCACAGTTATATGATGAGGCCCTCTGTGTCGCGAGCGTCAACGGGGGGGTGGGTGGCGGTGCTAGTGGAGCCTCGCAGCGGGCAAACTGTGCCGCGCTTCCACTAATTGTGCCGCATAACCGCATAAAGGTGCGCTCGGTTGAGGCTTCCTCCGCAAGATGATGCCCCCTCCGCGAGGTGAGGTGAGGCCCCCTCCCCGAGGTGAGGCCCCACGCAGTCTGCGTGATCGCCGTGTAGGGAGGGGCGGCCCTGTATACTCTCATTCATGATGAGGAGAGAGTATAATACCATTCTTTTTAAAACAAAGTTTGTTTATCACTACAGAATACTTTTGTGAACCATTTGATGTTTATGCTTAACATGCAGTGAACAATAACTCGTTTCATTCAGTCCATAGAGATGGTGACGATGGACGGGACCGGCCACCTCTCCTTCACAGGCCTGTTCAGCAGGGGGGCGGCTCTCGGCCTCGCTGTGTTTGAGAGCTCCTTCTACTGGGTCGATGACAGAGGACTGTGGCAGGTCCCACAGACGCAGCCAAACCAGAAGAAATTTCTTTTGAAAGGGGCACTGCCGACACTAGCCGTTTACCATGAGCTCCAGCAGCCTCAAGGTACTTATGGAAACAAGATATTTAATTCTAATGCAATATACTTGTTGATTGGAGTATTTCTTTCTCTGAATTGGCTATGACTTTAGTTTATGCTCTTCTTAGGCACCATGTTAGATTCATTTTTGATTCAAAACAAACTATACAGTTGTCATATTTGTATGTTTTGTCCCGAGTATTGTTGATTGATTTATACTTGATCGGTTTAAAATGACATCTATGACATAAACAGCGGATAATTAATTGAAATACAAAACAATGTAACTTCATCCTTTTTTTTTTTTGGCACCATAGTTGTTTCGTCCTCATCTGAGAATATTACTTTGTCCTGTGTTTTTTTTTTTCTTTTTAACTATTCTTTTTTTTTTTTACATCATTCAGGTTCTACCGCATGTGAAAATACTCAGTGTCAGCTCTGCCAGCTAACTAAAAGAAACCCGGTGGGATTCACCTGCGCTTGTCCGAACGCCAAAATGCTGTTGCCTGATGGGACATGTCAATGTAAGTTCAACAAAACTTTACTTTGGATCTCTGCCTATTTTTGGTTGAAGATGGGTAAAAAATGTTTTATCCAATCCGTTTTCTCTGGTCCTTCTCTAAGTAGTAATAAGCACAAGGGGAACTTTAAAATCTTTATTTTTTCTGCCACAGACCCAAGGTTTGTTTATGCCACCAACATGGACATCAACCTGCTGGAGATCAGAGGGAGAAATTACGATCAAACCCAGCTGTTAAGCACTGGCGACGGGATCCTGTCCTTTGACCTGGACTGGTACAGAGACTGGCTCTACTGGGCCAACCAAACCGGCCATATCCAACGCACCAGTCTGACCGAGGTCAAGACTGAGGTGGTCCCAACACCTCTGCCAGGTAATGCTATGAGTTTCAAGTTTTTCATGCAGACAAGGTATTTTATGTTATAGATAGATAGAATTGGAGGGATGGAACCCTCTGTAATGGTCACACATGCAGAGCACACAGCGCACACACAGTGAAATGTGTTCTCTGCATTTAACCCATCCTAGTACTAGGAGCAACTCAATATCACTAATCATTTAGCACCTTGGGATTGTTGTTAGCAATGAAAGGTGCTTTATAAATTGAATTTATTATTATTATCCCTGTCAATCGAAAACAATTAATGCATTTAGATAAAGCATTTTGTAGTCCTTTAGCATTCATTAACACCACCAATTTCCTTGTTCCAACTTGATCTGTAGTTTGAATGATTCATGGATTTATTAAAGATAATTGATTAAATAATTGTCAATGAAAATAAGTCTTAAGTTATACTTTGTAGTGAATTAAAGTATTTGCCATGAACAATTGTCTACTTTGTCTTCTTACAGCTTTCTGTACACTTTCCATTGACTCTCACTTATTTTTCTCTTTAGTTTGTTTGATTAAAATAGACCAGAGGAAAGGGAGCCTCTATTGGGTGTCATGTGACCAAAACAGCATCGGCACCTCCACAGCCGACAGCCTGAACCTGCAGCAGCTGTACCGTACGACCAAGAAGATCACAGACCTGTATCTGGACTGGCTGAGGGGGGGCATCATCTGGTTGGAGGAAGACCGAATCCTCACCATGAGCATGGCGGGAGGAAGTGCCAAAGAGCTGCTGCAGTTGGCAGACGAAGTCCAGGGGAACATCGTCTTCGACCTCGGGGCTAACAGCCTGCTCTGGAACTCAAAAAGGGCAGGTCTGTCTGAAGTCAAATGTTTCACCAGCTGTGTCTCAACACTTAGCTTAAAGCAATAAAACAGTACATGTGATTGATTTGGATTGATGCTGCAACAATAAGAGATGACTGTGTTCAAAGTCTTTCATTCAGTTGCAAAACAGTGTTGGTTTCCCCTTCTTACAGGTTTGACCACGATGAGTTTGCTGCAGGCGAAAAGCCACAAAGCTGGCAGGAGATGGAACATTTCCGGCTCAGTCATATCTGCCTTTGAGCCCTTCCTGCTGTCCCATTCGGATAATGTCCTGACTCTGTGGGACCGGCGTGACGGGAGGGCCATCCAGGACATGCCTGTGAGAGGGCGTGTGTTCAGTGTCATCCTTGCACTGAAGAACGTCCGCCCAGGTCAGAACAAGTTAATGTTTTTAAAGAAGAAATACAAAAAAAATAATTTTGTTACTTTATCTGAATTTAAGATTTATTTTCTTTACGGTTAGTTTTTTTTAGCTTGTAGTGACTCACAAGTGCAAACGACCAGTTTACAGCCAGAGAACATGTGTATGAAAGCGACAGATTTTTACCCTGACTTAACTTCATTTTCACTTCTTAGTGCCAGATACTCCAGTTTGCACTGAACCCTCTGTGCTGTGCCGACACACATCACTCTGCCTCTCTCAAGCCCAGCTGTGTGACGGGAAAAAGGACTGCCCTGATGGAGACGACGAGGATGGTTGTGTAACCACATGCCCATCTAAAGGTGAAGTATCTATATCACTTTTTATTGTTTCTTGTAAATGGCAGAGCACCTCTTTAAATGTGCAACCCTTTCTTTTCTGCCTCCATTTCCAATCTTAGGAGATTTCAAGTGCAAGGACAGTAGGAGTTGTGTCCCCAGGGTTCTCGTCTGTGACGGTCGTTCTCATTGTCGTGATGGCTCAGACGAGGTCAACTGTCCGACCGTAGCTTCAGTTGGAGTTCCGTTAAACACTCTGAAGTGCCGCACGGGCTCCAAGCTGTGTGAAGACGGGACTGAGTGTGTTTTATACAGCCACGTGTGTGACGGGGAGAAGGACTGTCAGGACGGATCTGATGAACAGGGATGTGGTGAGTTTCCTAGGATGTTATCTGAAATATGCAGTTTGACTTACTGACTCATTCTATTTTTGTTTTTATGAAATATCCATTTATTTAATTTAACTAATTGGATATTTTCAGAACCACTCAAACCTCCTGCTCCAGTCGCGCCGGCCTGCAGCAGCCCTGCTGTGCTCTGTCCCAATTCTGCTGTTCAGCTCTGCATTTCTCCGAGTCAGTTCTGCAACGGGCTCAAAGACTGTCCTGATGGCTTTGATGAAAAGAACTGTGTGAAAAGGTGTCCCTCTAGAAGTAAGGAGTTTGTTTATATATATATATATATACATTTCCCTGTTTGCCAATGTTTGCAGGGTGTTTTTTTGTTTAGAATGTGTCCTGCAACCTAAGAGGGCTTAATTTGTTTTCTGTTCAGGCGACTTCCGCTGCAACGACCGCCGGAGCTGCGTCTCGCAGAGTCTGGTTTGTGACGGTCGCTCTCAATGCAACGACGGCTCCGATGAGCTCAACTGTCCGAACGCTACCCCTCCTGCAGCTGGAGCAAACGTCCTGAAGTGTCGCATCGGCACCAAACTGTGTGGAGACAGGACAGAGTGTGTCCTCTTCAGCCACGTCTGTGATGGAGAGAGAGACTGCCGGGACGGATCAGATGAAGTAGGATGTGGTGAGTGTTCACTCAAAGCTTTAATGCATGTAGAAAGCCCAGTAGCATAACATTTTGACACTTTCCTGTTGGTTTGCTATGAAACTTATTACTCTTATCTATCTTCTAGATGCTACAAACACTGTCTCTACCAGTCTTCCAGAAAATGTGCGCTCAATTCAATCACCTCCACCTGTCGAGACATTTACTCAGCCCCCCACCAACCCCCCCTGCAGCAGCCCTTCAGCTCTGTGTCCAGGCTCCTCTTTATGCATCAGCCCGACACAGTTTTGTGATGGAAGGAAAGACTGCCCTGATGGGTCTGATGAGAACTGTGTGAAAAGATGTCCTTCCAGGAGTAAGTCATTAACTTTAACACATTCAAATTACTTTCCAACTATTTTTCACTGACCTCAATGCCTATTTTGAAATTGTAAGTATACAGAACAATTTTACACAATTCCACTTTTCTATTTATTTTCCCCTCCACAGCTGACTTCCGCTGCAAAGACCGTAGGAGCTGCGTCTCGCAGAGTCTGGTTTGTGACGGTCGCTCTCAATGCAGCGACGGCTCAGATGAGCTCAACTGTCCGAACGCTACTCCTCCTGCAGCTGGAGCAAACGTCCTGAAGTGTCGCATCGGCACCAAACTGTGTGGAGACGGGACAGAGTGTGTCCTCTTCAGCCACGTCTGTGATGGAGAGAGAGACTGCCGGGACGGATCAGATGAAGTAGGATGTGGTGAGTGTTCACTCAAAGCTTTAATGCATGTAGAAAGCCCACTTTGCTGTGTCTTATACAGTAGCATAACATTTTGACACTTTCCTGTTGGTTTGCTATGAAACTTATTACTCTTATCTATCTTCTAGATGCTGCAAACACTGTCTCTACCAGTCTTCCAGAAAATGTGCACTCAATTCAATCACCTCCACCTGTCGAGACATTTACTCAGCCCCCCTGCAGCAGCCCTTCAGCTCTGTGTCCAGGCTCCTCTTTATGCATCAGCCCGACACAGTTTTGTGATGGAAAGAAAGACTGCCCTGATGGGTCTGATGAGAACTGTGTGAAAAGATGTCCTTCTAGGAGTAAGTCATTACGTCATTAACTTTAACACATTCAAATTACTTTCCAACTATTTTTCACTGACCTCAATGCCTATTTTGAAATTGTAAGTATACAGAACAATTTTACACAATTCCACTTTTCTATTTATTTTCCCCTCCACAGCTGACTTCCGCTGCAAAGACCGTAGGAGCTGCGTCTCGCAGAGTCTGGTTTGTGACGGTCGCTCTCAATGCAACGACGGCTCAGATGAGCTCAACTGTCCGAACGCTACCCCTCCTGCAGCTGGAGCAAACGTCCTGAAGTGTCGCATCGGCACCAAACTGTGTGGAGACGGGACAGAGTGTGTCCTCTTCAGCCACGTCTGTGATGGAGAGAGAGACTGCCGGGACGGATCAGATGAAGTAGGATGTGGTGAGTGTTCACTCAAAGCTTTAATGCATGTAGAAAGCCCACTTTGCTGTGTCTTATACAGTAGCATAACATTTAGACACTTTCCTGTTGGTTTGCTATGAAACGTATCACCCTTATCTATCTTCTAGATGCTGCAAACACTGTCTCTACCAGTCTTCCAGAAAATGTGCACTCAATTCAATCACCTCCACCTGTCGAGACATTTACTCAGCCCCCCACCAACCCCCCCTGCAGCAGCCCTTCAGCTCTGTGTCCAGGCTCCTCTTTATGCATCAGCCCGACACAGTTTTGTGATGGAAAGAAAGACTGCCCTGATGGGTCTGATGAGAACTGTTTGAAAAGATGTCCTTACAGGAGTAAGTCTTTATTTAAAATTGAGTCTCGGAGATATGCGTCAGAATGTTTATGTCTAATAAAATGTTTTTCTTTCCACAGCTGACTTCCGTTGCAAAGACCGTCGCAGCTGCGTCTCGAAGAATCTGGTTTGTGACGGCCGCTCTCACTGCAATGACGGCTCCGATGAGCTCAACTGTGGGAGCGTAGCTCTGCTTGCACCTCGAGGTAACGTCCTGAAGTGTCGCATCGGCTCACGGCTGTGTGGAGACACGACAGAGTGTGTCTTCTTCAGTCACGTCTGTGATGGAGAGAAAGACTGCCGGGACGGATCAGATGAAGAAGGATGTGGTGAGTTTTTAACGTGTTGCTTTCTCAAAGTGGAATATTTTTGAAGCTGCTTGATGAACCTGCACTCTCAGATTTTCTGCATTTCAAATATTTTCCTCGTAGCCTAATGAGTCAAATTGTTTAATGCTTCAAATAGACTAGTTCAGAAAGGGCATTGATGACATTGGCTTAAATGGTGACTACCAGAAATCTCAAACCTTTAGATTAAATGAATGCGTTTTTAAAGTGGAACTCCTTTTCAATCTTTAGATGTCTTAGAGGTTTCCCCTACAACTGCTACAGAAAATGTCCGGCTAAATGACACCCCTTCACCTGTGGCACCCTTCACTGAGCCCCCCACCAACCCCCCCTGCAGCAGCCCTTCAGCTCTGTGTCCAGGCTCCTCTTTATGCATCAGCCCGACACAGTTTTGTGATGGAAAGAAAGACTGCCCTGATGGGTCTGATGAGAACTGTGTGAAAAGATGTCCTTACAGGAGTAAGTCATTAACTTTAACACATTCAAATTACTTTCCAACTATTTTTCACTGACCTCAATGCCTATTTTGAAATTGTAAGTATACAGAACAATTTTACACAATTCCACTTTTCTATTTATTTTCCCCTCCACAGCTGACTTCCGCTGCAAAGACCGTAGGAGCTGCGTCTCGCAGAGTCTGGTTTGTGACGGTCGCTCTCAATGCAACGACGGCTCAGATGAGCTCAACTGTCCGAACGCTACCCCTCCTGCAGCTGGAGCAAACGTCCTGAAGTGTCGCATCGGCACCAAACTGTGTGGAGACGGGACAGAGTGTGTTCTCTTCAGCCACGTCTGTGATGGAGAGAGAGACTGCCGGGACGGATCAGATGAAGTAGGATGTGGTGAGTGTTCACTCAAAGCTTTAATGCATGTAGAAAGCCCACTTTGCTGTTTCTTATACAGTAGCATAACATTTTGACACTTTCCTGTTGGTTTGCTATGAAACGTATCACTCTTATCTATCTTCTAGATGCTGCAAACACTGTCTCTACCAGTCTTCCAGAAAATGTGCACTCAATTCAATCACCTCCACCTGTCGAGACATTTACTCAGCCCCCCTGCAGCAGCCCTTCAGCTCTGTGTCCAGGCTCCTCTTTATGCATCAGCCCGACACAGTTTTGTGATGGAAAGAAAGACTGCCCTGATGGGTCTGATGAGAACTGTGTGAAAAGATGTCCTAGGAGTAAGTCATTACGTCATTAACTTTAACACATTCAAATTACTTTCCAACTATTTTTCACTGACCTCAATGCCTATTTTGAAATTGTAAGTATACAGAACAATTTTACACAATTCCACTTTTCTATTTATTTTCCCCTCCACAGCTGACTTCCGCTGCAAAGACCGTAGGAGCTGCGTCTCGCAGAGTCTGGTTTGTGACGGTCGCTCTCAATGCAACGACGGCTCGGATGAGCTCAACTGTCCGAACGCTACTCCTCCTGCAGCTGGAGCAAACGTCCTGAAGTGTCGCATCGGCACCAAACTGTGTGGAGACGGGACAGAGTGTGTTCTCTTCAGCCACGTCTGTGATGGAGAGAGAGACTGCCGGGACGGATCAGATGAAGTAGGATGTGGTGAGTGTTCACTCAAAGCATGTAGAAAGCCCACTTTGCTGTTTCTTATACAGTAGCATAACATTTTGACACTTTCCTGTTGGTTTGCTATGAAACTTATTACTCTTATCTATCTTCTAGATGCTACAAACACTGTCTCTACCAGTCTTCCAGAAAATGTGCGCTCAATTCAATCACCTCCACCTGTCGAGACATTTACTCAGCCCCCCACCAACCCCCCCTGCAGCAGCCCTTCAGCTCTGTGTCCAGGCTCCTCTTTATGCATCAGCCCGACACAGTTTTGTGATGGAAAGAAAGACTGCCCTGATGGGTCTGATGAGAACTGTGTGAAAAGATGTCCTTACAGGAGTAAGTCATTACGTCATTAACTTTAACACATTCAAATTTGTTTCAAACTATTTTTCTCTGACCTCAATGCCTATTTTGAAAATTCTAAGTATCAGAAAATGTACACAATTCCACTTGTTTATTTATTTCCCCCTCCACAGCTGACTTCCGCTGCAAAGACCGGAGGAGCTGCGTCTCGCAGAGTCTGGTTTGTGACGGCCGCTCTCACTGCCACGACAGCTCCGATGAGGACGACTGCCCGAACGTAGTTTCATCTGTAGCTCGAACAAACGTCCTGAAGTGCCGGTTGGGCTCAAAGCCTTGTGACGACGGAAAAGAGTGTGTTTTGTACAGCCACGTGTGTGACGGAGAGAAAGACTGTATGGATGGATCTGATGAACAGGGATGCCAAGAAATATGCAAACAAGGTAATTTCACTTTAAAGTTTTTAAGTGGCTTGGAAAAATGGTTGACACTTTTGAACTATATGCATTTTCTTTCAAAACTGTTTACTGATAACAAAATGTAATGCAATTGCTGTACCCTATACACTGAGAAAAACTGCAATCTTGAACACTAAACTAAAAACTAAAGTAAAACAAATGAAAGTGACAGTTTCCTGTACATTGTTCTGTTAATGAGAACTTTGAAGAAACTATGTAATTCAGATAGTCATCATTTTTCTTTGTACTCCACCCCAGGTGAGTTTCAGTGCGCCCATGGGAAGATGTGCATCCCTGCAGCCGAGGTGTGTGATGGCAAGCCGCAGTGTCAGGATCAGTCGGATGAGCGGGACTGCTGGATCAAAACCAAGAGCTGCGAGCACCGCTGCGGCAAGCGATGCATCCCAAACACATTCCTGTGCGATGGAGAGAAGGACTGCCTGGATGGGTCGGATGAGGCGGGCTGCGGTAAGGCTGCAGATTCCGTTATTGAAATTGGTCATAATGCTACTGCGGCTGCAAAATAACAATACAATTACAGGTTTGATAGCTCTGATTTAGTGTTATACATTTAAAAAAACGTAACAATGGAAGTGATGACATCTCATAACAAATTAAATATAACTACATTTGTACTTAATCTCACTCTTTATTAGATCTGTTAGCTAGCCAAAAGTCCTGACTGTCTGCTACAACCTTTTGAGTTTAATGCTTAGTCTTCTCCTCTCCAGAATCTGTTACTGCTGCATCAGCGTCTCCTGTTCTCACCTCCACATCATCTTGCATCGCTCCATCAGTTCTCTGTCCAGATTCAGCTCTGTGTATCTCTCAAAGCCAGCTGTGTGATGGAAAAAAAGACTGCCCTGATGCATTTGATGAAAATGACTGTATAAGCCAATGCAAAAATCCAGGTAAGTCCAGCGACAAAAAAAGTTTACCTATCCAACTAATGAATGGCATGGACCAGCTGTATGAGAGTTCCATAGAAAACAGTGGAAGTGCTTTGGGGTTTAAGTAGCCATTTGTTGCAAAAACAACCACTTTTTGTTTTGTCCCTGATCCTCAAATTGACACCTTTTGTCTTCCTGAACATCAGGTGACTTTATGTGCAGCGACCGCAGGATGTGCCTCCCTAAGTCAGAAGTGTGTGACGGCCGCGCCCACTGTCCCGACGGCTCGGATGAGATGCAGTGCCAATCAGAAGATCCTATTGCTCCCTGTAATTGAATTTCATTGATTTCAGTCACAGCAGTTGGAATTGTTGTTAGAGAATACACACTGCTATTTTCCTTATGTTTGATATGTGTGTAAAACTTACAGTAGCACCACCTAAGATTCCCCATAACACAACTGCTAAGCACCAAATATCCTAGCGGCACCAACCAGTAGAAACCTTCCCTAACTTTCTGCAACCTAACGGCGATCATAGTTACCACCTATCAACGCGCCATCCACCCTCTAGAAAAATTGTGCACTCTAACCCTTAATTTGACATTCTTGTACTTAATTTGGTAATTCCTAACTTGACTTTTTCTTTGCCCAGCTATCAAAATATGTACCGTGTGTCTTCAGATCTCATTAAATGCATATTATTTTTCCCTGCCTAGCCTCCAACAATGCGCTCGGTGCCAAATCCGCCCCGTTGAAGTGCCGCACAGGTTTCAAGCTGTGTAAAGACGGCCTGGATTGTGTTATGTTCAGCCATCTGTGTGACGGAGAGAGGGACTGCAACGATGGATCAGACGAAGTGGGATGTGCCGCCAAGTGCAAAACAGGTTTGTTATGTGTATTGTGCCGGTGGAAATCGGCTTAAAGTGGACCTATCATGCTATATTTGAATAATATAGTGTAGGACCATACCTATATAAGGCATATTTATACTTTTTTTTTTTTTCAAAATACCAAACGGATCATGCATTTTAGCCATGCCTCATTTTGCTCAATTTGAATTTTTTTTGCTCTGGATTTGCAAGGGCAGATTCAGTGAGAACAGCACCATCTACTGGCCTGGCATATGTACTACAGCGTCTCCAGCGCTTTCGAATGGCCGTGGCTGTCTCCTCCTGATTGGTGGAGTTGGCCCAATAGCCGTAGCGCCACTGTCCTGACGTCAGGACAGTGTTCAAATCTGGATCAGTTTTTATCAGATCCGTTGTAGCCCCTTTTTTTAGAGATTTGGGTATGGAGGAAAATAGAGAGGGTTGTGTTTTCTGACACTTGGTGAGTTCCCTGGAATACCGGGGACACATATTCATGTATAAAAGACATACAAAAGTGCATTTTGCATGATAGGTCCCCTTTAAAGCAATGACACAACCTGCTTATTTGGGACGATGATTGTGTCCATGATTGTGTCGCATGGTTTTAATAAAGGCAAATTATCTAAAAGCCATAATATTTAACAGTGAATCAAATGGTGACTTTGATGTTTTAAACTGAACATAGTCACCTTTTTAAATCAAATCAAATATTGTCGAGTAACAACATACATTTTATAGTTTATTTTCTGGTATATTTTGCATCACATGTAAGTGGACAACACTTATGACATTCTCTTTAGTTGTACTGTTGATACATTTTTCCCTCTCTCCTGAATTGTTTTTATAGATTTATAAATGGACTATGTGTCTATTTAGTACATGGCTAAATTTACCTATGTTCCAGGACACTACCAGTTAAAACAATGTATGAACTGGATACTTAGCATTTCAATCAGTTGATCATGTGTGCTCTAAAAGCCATGGATTATTTCTGAGGAGTCTCTTTCCTCTTCCTCAGATGAGTTCCCGTGTGCTCACGGGAACAGATGCATCCCACCAGAGAAGGTGTGTGACGGGCAGAACGACTGTCAAGACCGATCTGACGAAATGGACTGTTCGAGTCAGACCGAGGGCTGCCGTCATCGCTGTGACAACAACACTCGCTGTATCCCGGACACCTTCCTGTGTGACGGAGAGAGAGACTGCACCGATGGGTCTGATGAAGAGAAGTGTGGTAGGTCACGTCAATATATAGAAACTCACTACAAGTAAGCTGTATATAAAACAAACTTCAAAATAAAATACACATTTGCTTTATCTTTCCAGGTTTGGTGTCCTGTGCCATGGAGCATTACCGCTGTATCAGTGGTCAGTGTGTGTCCGAGGCCCTGAGGTGTGATGGATACGCGGACTGCAGCGATCGTTCTGATGAGGCGCATTGCATGAGACCCCCCCGCTGCCCCACACAGCTGAGATGCGCAAACAGCCACGAGTGCCTGCAGAAAGAGTGGCTCTGTGACGGCGAAGACGACTGCAATGATGGATCAGACGAGAAGGTGAGGAACGGGAGGATGAGGATGATTTTTTAGAGTGTTTGGAATCGGTGGATAAAACTTGGGTTTCATCATTTGTATCCAGAACTGCGTGTTGTCGCCAGCAAAGTGCAGGGAGTACCAGTGGCAGTGTGGAGAAAGCAGTCAGTGCATCCCTCTGTCATGGAGGTGTGACGGGAAGACAGACTGCCACAACGACATGGACGAGGACAAATGTGAGCATGTTCTCCTCAAATATTCTCCCATGCCAGGCCCTTGAACAGTTTATTTTCTACTTCAGACTTTTTTATTGTAAGGGACTATTTGGATAAAATAAGTTATACAAGGATGCTCTAATAATTTGCAGGATGACGAAATAGCCCATGTTTAGTCCTGCATTAATGAAATATATTTCAATGATTTTAGAGGAACTCTGAAGAACAATGTATCTTTATCTGCCTTTTACAGGCAGCCAGAGAATTTGCCCCTCTCACCTTTTCCAGTGTGGCAGCGGTGAGTGTGTGGACCCCAGCCTGGTGTGTAATGGCCTCACCAACTGTGCCGACCGCTCAGACGAGGGCGCGGGATGCGCTCAACACAACTGCTCCAGCCCGTCAGCTCCGCGCTGTGAGGGCCACTGTGTCAGCACCCCAAACGGACCGGTCAGTACAGACAAATGCATCTGAAACAAATCATTTTTGACTCTATTTGCAAATGGATGGTGCACCGATCTAATGCCCTTTTCCCCCTCATTTTTGCAGAAGTGTTACTGTGCTGCTGGTTTCAGACTACAGTCCAGTGCTGTGTACTGTGTGGAGATTGACGAGTGCAATACTGTGCCGCAGGCCGTGTGCAAACACACCTGCCTGAACACCCAGGGGTCCTACATCTGTAGCTGCTTTCCTGGCTTCTACCTGGAGCCTGACAACAAAAGCTGCAAGACCAGAGGTACTGTACCGTCTCTTGTGTGAACGCAATGCCTTTAAGAAGCTGACTCAAACATTGGAGGTCTGAGAGATTTTAAATGTTCCAAACATTTTTTAAAGTAACCGCTTTGATACAATTTGGTCAGTATAACTAATCAAACCATTAACATTCCCCATGATATGCAGTCTATATCAAGCCATGTAATTTTACAATCGTAACGTTAAAATGAAATTATATGCCTGGGGAAAATGTTTCATGTTTGTTTTATAACATGATCCTTGCTTTTCAATGTGTGTGCTTTCTTTATATTGGCCTCTGCTACTCACTCCTGAATAGAGAACTCACCTGTCATGTTTGCATCTTTAGACGAGCCTTGGCTTCTGGCCTCGGTGCAGTCCGAGCTCTTACTGCAGGGAGTCCACAGCAGCACCTTGCGTCTTCTGTCCTCGGCCAACCGGCCCGTCTTCTCTCTGGATTATCACTGGGCTAAACAGAGAGTTTACTGGCTGAGCCCCGACTACCAGAGCATCCGCTGGTCTGACATGAAAGACTCAAACAGCAAAGGGACACTCATCAAAGGTAAGGCTGTCTAAACATATGAAGTATAAACAAATGGAATGAATATAAGTGTTTTGATTTAAAGCACCCAGCAACATTATTTGCAAAATAAAATCTTGCTATAGGAGTAAAGTCTGACTCCATCGCTGTGGACTGGATTGGTAAGAACCTGTACTGGGTGGATGGACTGGTGGGCCAGATTCTGGCTGTGAAGCTGAGCGATACCTCGGTGACATCCCAGGACTACACGGTGGTGCTGGGAGAAGACCTGGAGCAGCCCAGCTCACTGGTCCTGCTGCCACATAGAGGGTAAGCTGCACAACCTACTTTAAAAAAAAAAAACTGTGGAGACTCCTCTTGTACTATAAAAATGTATTCCAAATTTTAACCCGTTATTTTTCATCATTGCATACTTCTTTCAGGCTGATGCTTTGGTCTGAGATCGGCAGCACCCCTCAGATCGAGCGCTCCGGGATGGACGGATCGAAGAGGAAGGTGGTGGTGAGCAAGGGCCTCAACTGGCCAATCGGTCTGGCCTACGACCTCCTGGACAACCGGGTGTACTGGGCCGACGAGAAGATGCGCTGCATCGGCTCCACCTCTCTGGATGGAGAAAATGTCAAGGTAAACAACCTCAGAAATGGAAAAAATACTTTATTGGCTGCAAAAATGTAACATCGTAGGATTTCTTTCATGATCGCAAATGATGATGGCGGTACTTTTTTTCACTAGATCCTCCAGTTGGACGAAACGCCAAGTCCTTTCTCGGTGGCCATCTTCAATGACAGAGTCTACTGGTCCGACACTAAAAGAAGAACCATCCGCTCAGCTGATAAGAACACCGGCAAAAATCAAAAGGTTCTCCTGAAAAGACCAGGGCAGCCATTTGGGCTCAAAGTGAGTCTTCCACTTGTAATGCTGTGTTTTATTATTGAAATAATTTCAACATGGTTTTATTTTATGTCTGTTACCATTAATGTCTAAGAAGTTGCCAGCTATTGACACTTATTATAATTCTCTCCCCAGCTGATGCACGCCCTTTCCCAGCCGGACATATCCAGTCCTTGCGAGCAGCGTCACTGCTCCCACCTCTGCCTGCTGGCTCCGGCCACGAGACCCTCGGGCCCCCCTACAGCAGTGTGCCGATGCCCAAAGGGGCTGCTCCTTTCCAAGGACAAGAAGACCTGCTCTCTGCCTGCGGATTCAACCTTCATCATGCTTCTGTCTCGCACCACAGTCTACCAGGTGAGGAAAAGACCAGACGACCCGTGGGCCTTTTATTCCTTCCTACTTCTGGGATTTGCATTTTAGAGACTTTTCCCACTTGGAATTAATACACATTGAATCCTTATTTTGTTCTCCTGCTCACTCTTTTTTGTTTCCTGTTTTACTCAACTTCCCCTCACTTGCAGGTCCACTTAAATTCCATGCGTCGTGAGGGTATTGCTCTGAAAAAGATGCCAAACGGCAGAGTCTTAGCCCTGCCCGGGGTAACTGATGCCTCGGCACTGGACGTGTCCATCCAGGAGCTTTCTGTGTTTGTGGCGGATGCAGGACAGGGATCTGTGGATGTGCTGAAGCTGAGCGGCTCCACGTCGAGACAGGGACTGATTCCTACAGGACAAATCCTAAAGCTGGGGGTAGGCATAATCAGCTATTCAAAGGAAATATCAACTCCTGAGTTTTATTTATTTAACTGGAAGTCAGCTTGTCACTCCCATGTGAAATGTATTCCGAAAACTTCTCCATCACACAAGGACGATGCGGTCACAGCTCTGGCAGTGGACTGGGTGACCTCTAACCTCTACTGGAGCAGCGTCGCCAGGCCTGATCTTCATGTGACCTCCCGGAAAGATGCCTACACCACCTCGCTGCTGCAGGGATCACTGAAGGTGACAGGCTGAACTTCACCACTCATACATCATCTCTTTTAACTCAATATTCACTCACTCCTTCCTCCCTAACAGGCTTGCGGAACGGATTACATGTAACAGCGTTATGTAATTAGGATACCTTTTTTGAATTTTTAAAACTGTAATCTTTTACAGTTACAGAAAGTACATAATCAGATTAGTTACATTTTTTTAAACTGGGGATTACTACCAGGATTACACAATGCATTTTAAAATTAAGAACGGTGTTTTACAAGACTCATGAGCGCATAGTACAACACTTCACGAGTCTCACAACACCAAGTGAAAGGACTGGAGCTAATCTCTCAATAATCAGTCTGTAAATGTAAAGTACCTTGATTTACAGTATAGTATCACATTTGAAGCAATCGTATGTACGGAGTCCCCTCTTTAGTGATTTATTCACTGTATAAATGTCCTCATGTCTTTAATCTCCTTTCCTTGCTTGCCCTAATACACTTGTGTTTTTGCAATTATTTGTATTCCCTTGTAAACTAAGCCTGGGTTTTGTTCATCCCCGCAGGGCACCACATCCATCGCCCTGCACCCCCCCTCGGGACTACTTTGCTACACAGCATTTGTGGTGGCAGGTGGGAAGAGCCAGGTGAACTGCGCCTGGATGGACGGCCGTAACAAAGTGGTGCTGTGGAGGAGGTCGAGCATCCCCACCTCACTGGTCTTCTCCCATCAAGATCCAAACAGGGTCTACTGGGCTGACACAGGTGAGTTTAAAGAAACCGCACATATTTGATGACTTGCATATATTTTATTTTAACAACTCTTTGTCTTCAGGGGAAGGTGTAATCTGCTCTATAAGAGTGGATGGAACAGGATACAAACAGTACAACACCGGGCCTGGTCTGCTCATCTCCTTCACGTATACTGAGAACATCCTCCTCTGGGTCAGCCAGGACAAAGGTAAGAGCAGGGGAAGTGGACAACACCGTTTTTAAAACATCCTAAGACTCAAGCTCCCATAGTGTCGCCGGGTGGAAGGTTTAGGGCTCTAATAACATGATCAGTCCTGCTCGTAGAATTTAATTTCCCGAACATTTTAGCTTTCACCTGCATCTCATCTGTCTTCATCCCCTTCAGGGAGCTGACTAATGTAACGATGAATAATTTAGACAACCTCTTCTCAGTAATCTCTACCGTTCTACATCATTAAACATCCACTTACAATCACGAGCATCATCTCCTCGATCAGATCTGTTACTTAAATCTTTATATTCAGAACACACATTTTCTCACTACCTGCCCTATCAGTAGCTTCTAATTCTGCCCTGTAGAAAGAAAACGGTATGTTTATATGCCACATTTTTGCTAATTGGTCTTATTTCCAACTGTAGATGTTGCCAAACTGTGGTTCAGTGACGGCCTCCAGCCCAACCAAATGTGGTTTGAGACAAAGACCAGTTTGGTGGAAGTGAAAGCTTACAGCACCGACAGTCAGTACGGTAAGTGTTCTTCTAGAAGTGAGACCATTGGAATACTCTTCACTTGCCACTAGAGGGCACGGGGAGCATGTCAAGCTGTAGAAAACTATGGAGCAGGGGTCATGACACAAATAAACACAGAATTACATTATTATGAAAATAAAGTCTTTTAAATCACACAGTCCAAAGAAGGACAAACACCTAAAAATACAAAATCTTGTTTAACATCCAGTTTTGCATTTAATTTGGATTGCAGTGTCTTACTTGTGACAGGAGACGAGTACAACTGCTAAAATGTATTACTGTATATAAGTAAAGGAAATTAATGTGCAAAGTTGGCTAGTAGTACAGCACATCATGGAGCTGTAAACAGACTAAAGTGCTCAAAATAAACACCATCCTCTCCAAGCATATAAGAATCCTGATTAAGAGCATATTTGTTAAGCTTCTCTGAAGATCATGTCCCAGTATTTAAGTTAGAAAATAGCACAACACTTGAGCTGATTCACCAGCGACAATTTAACTTACACATGCCATCCTGACATGCATCACGTGTAGATTCTGACGGATCAGAAGATGTCGGACAAGGGAAAATATGAAAGCGGCTTGTCGACAGTGAAATTCTATTCACATAATACAATGATGCCCGTCAAAGACTGTCATGCTAACAAACAGGCCTGCAGCACACTCGTTTATAAAAGCAAGCATGCCAAATCAGTTTAAAGTCAGGAATTACTCGATCTGCAGACTTCTATTTTAACCTCAGCTGTGTTCCTGAATGCAGCACACAGACAAAGTGTGATATCGGACACTCCGGGCAGAATGAAAAGGTTCTCTTAGGCTCAGTTTGAGTTGAATGGTTGAATAGAGTGATGTGACCCTGCAGAGAGACGGCGCTGGAAGCTGTGGGAAAGAGCCACGATGAATCGATCTCATCACACTCCCTCTTGCTTATTCTCCCGACTGTCACACACTCCTGCAGTCAAAGCATACATGTGCACAAATATGGTTTCACAGCAAAGTCTTGCTGATGTTTAACAACATGCTTGTATAACCAACATCAATAAACTTCATAACCACTAAAGTAGCATCTGAATCAAAGTGAGACAGACAAGGCAAATACTTTGGGAATAACTGAAGAGGCCAATCATACAAGACGGTCTTTATTGATTTAGTGTGAAAATATCAAATTCTGCATAACAGTTTCAGCTGGGGTCATAATCAAAGCGGTATTGTGTTTACGATCACTGCAAATCTTTGACGTTGAATATTAAAATTCTAAGATGGTGCACAGTTGTCAACATGGATCTTTGCACAATAGTACAGAGCATTGTAAGACAAACTGGCACACATCCAGAAGCCCAATTATTCTTCTTTCACAATTATCCATTCACACATTTCGACACACCCTTGTTTCACATGTTCAGCCTGGCACTGAAAGCTTCCTCACAGAGGCAAAGCAGAATATGTAATTGCACTCAGCCAGGAGGCCTTCCTTTGTGTACATTATGTACAGACATTTTGTAAATTGCCTTAACAGTGTTGATAGTCATGGGAGTAGATCTGCTGTGTGCCATGTCTATTCCCATAATGACACAACATATAGACACAAGGAGCATATTTGCCAAGTATAGGAAATGCGTCATTTCTATTCCAAAAATAAACTTCAGGATGAAGAGCAACCATAGTGGAAGTTAAAGAGGATCCTATAAAATAAACTAATACATTCTGTTGATACTTTGGAGACTTGTCAGGAACTGAAAACAACTTCTGATTTAAAAAGAAATTAATTGATTTTATTCAAGGTTGTTTTTTTTTACTCATGTTTTAATTGATGTGTGAAAAGCTTTACATTTGATTGTCCTCCCAATGACGGTCTACATCTGTTTACCAATATTTTTCCAGGAACTAATAGTTGCTCCAAGAACAACAGCGGATGTGTCCACCTGTGCCTGCCCTACCCCGGGGGCAACACGTGTAAATGTGGTCGGGGTTTCTACGGTGCTTCCTGCACCCCGCTGCCCGCCTGCCCCTCTGGAGAAGAGTCCTGCTTCGACGGTAGCAAGTGCTTCAGCATCAGCAAGTTTTGTGACGGCCACATGGACTGTCCTGACCAGTCTGATGAACAGGACTGTGAGTCTAATGCACATCTTTAATAACCCAACAATTGATCAAACAAAACTTAAACCCTATCCCTGATTTTCTCTTCAGGTCCAAACCCTAACTCTGCATCTCCCGGGAGCAAATCCAGCAACGTCCGCCCTCTCCCCGAAGCCAAACAGAACTCTGTCCCCTCAATAAAAAAGTCCTCTACATCCTGTGATCTCCAGCTGTGCAGCGGCCACGGCAGCTGCATCACGGAGGGCAAAACGGCCCGCTGCCAGTGTGAAGACGGTTACAAGGGAGAGTCCTGTCAGGAGGCAGAAACTGGGAAAAGCCATGTGGGGATGATCCTGGGGGTCTTCTGCCTCCTGGCTGTATTGATATCGGCGGGATTTCTTTACAATAGAAGGTAAAAATGAGGTCCAGCAAGATTGTTGTCTATTCAAAGGACTGATTCATACTGGTCTACACTACTTCAGAATGATTTAGTTTGATATAAGTCTGATCTATGAAGGAACTAACATTGAGATTTCAATTTCAACAGGAGACAAGTGAGGAATACCTGGGTGACGATCAGAAGCAGATCCTCAGAAAAGGAAACTCTGATGGCCAACATGGGTCTGCCGTGTGAACACTACGACTCCGACTGCGAGGTAAACCCCGAGGCCACAGACTGGAAATTAATTTGGATAAAAAGCAGAGATTATTTTTTACTTTTGGATTATGGACCATTCATATGGCTTACCTATATAATAAACCTGCCGGGTTTTTTTTTTTAAAGTTACCTACTCAATTAAGTCCAGAAAAATGTGTCCCCAAAACATCCAGCCAGAAACATAAACCAATATTTTAATTTGATTGTTTTTTAGAACTTAAACTTGATTTAGACTGTAAAGGTTCATTCTTGTCCCCAGGAGCTGGATTCCCCGGTGGATACGAAGAACCCCCCGCTCGTGATGAAGTCTCTACAGCTCACATAGAAGTTCTGCTTCCTGAAATAAGGCGTCCTGTAAACACCCAAGACTCTTATGGTGCAATAAAAGTGAAAAACATTTAACCAAAACTCTGGCTCTGCTTGTTTTAAATCTATCCACACACTTACTTCTGATGCTCCTTAGCAATTAAAACACACATGTTCATCTTCTCATTTAGCCCAGGTTTCATGAACAGGTTTGATTATATTCCAATATATTTAAAATCAAAGTTTGTGGCCTGCAACTTGATTATTTTCATTTTGTTGTTTCTCTATGTTTTGGCCACACAATAACACAAATGGAGAAAGATGGTGGGAGAGTTGTGCACAACCTCCACTTTTTAAATGATGTAATGGGGACAGCTTCAGTATTGCTGTTTTATCAAAAACATGCTTTCAGAATGTGGCTAAAAACATACAGAAAAGGTTGAGTCCTTTACGGTACGCTGTTCTATTTCGTATATGGCTTCGCCCTCTAAGGCTATCGCTATTGGGTAATCCCCCTGCGCAGCACTGAAACACTTGTAGTCCACGCCTGCCCGCAAGGTGGGCCCCACCCTCGGGCTCCCTTCCGGTATAAATAGGAAGGAGGCCCGACAATCTGCTCCCTCTTTTCTTCAGCACCCCGTTACTGAAGCACAAGAGACACTTTCATTAACAGAGCAATCATGAGCAGCAATTGTGAGAGATTGTCCCTCATGTGGCTCTGGATACATTATGAGTTACGACCAGCACACGATGTGCGAATCCTGCCTGGGGACGCACATCCTTCAGCGGCTGCAGGGGCTCCGTCCCACGTCTCCGCTCCCCCGCCACCCCAGAGACAAAGGGGTCTTCCAGCGGTGAGTCAACGGGGAGTGAGGCACTCCCGCTCTTGGTCTGCTCTACCAGAGCCTCCGAGGAAGCATAGACGTTTTTGACGTGTTGGAGTTGTGTGGAAAATAAAAGGAGAGTTCATTTTCCAACTTTTTGTCTGAGTCATCAGTATCAAGTGTTTCTCACCCCCCACTCTGTGTAAGCCAGCTGCCTATAACCTATCGGTTAGTATACTGACCGATAGGTTATAGGCAGCAGGGCTCGTTGCAAAAGCCTGCAGTTTTTAATCTCTCTGTTTATAAACTGCAGAGTTCGCTAATTAAGCCAGCTGCCACCAATCTGTTGGTTAGTAGACAGCAGGGCTCGCTGCAGAAGCCTGCTGGTTTTAACCTATCTGTTAATGAACCGCAGAGCTCGCGGCATTCCTCTGTCCGAGATACGTCTCCTACACACGTAATAAGCCCATGAGCGCAGTTATGACGCCTCATGTGGACGTCACGGCACACACCTCCACTCATCCCCTGAGCGTGTACACGCCTCATGATGAGAGCCGGAGTGAAACGCAGCGTGTGGAGGCTCCCTCACAGCCCTTTTGCTCCAGGCCCACCTTGGGTTGCCTCACGGGCTGCGGTGGCGAGGGCTCTGACGTGGCTCGTCGCCATGACGACCACAACACATCTTGAGCATGTGCGCCCGCTCTCAGAGTGTTTCTCAGAGTGGTAGCGCGTGTGTCTGATGGACAGATGGATGAGCAGGCTGATCAGCAGAGGGTACACCCTGCAGATCGCCTGGAATAAAACTCAGCCAGCAGAGCGCGGCTCTCGCTGCAGCGAGTGGAGGAACTGACAGCTCCGTATCCAGCGTGTCACATCCCACAGCGTGGTGACAGCCCTCTCCGTGATACAGCTGCTCAGCATGACGTCAGCTGATCACGTGGGGATTCCCCGGGGTCTCCCCCACAGGAGGGGTCTCCAGAGGTGGTTCATTCGCCCACGCACCGACCCCGTGCGTCAGAGGTAAATGTGCTGGAGCTGTTCTCCAGTTTGGGAAGTATTCCAGCACTTCGCCCCGTTGCTGTACAATCAAACATGTGTTGATTCGCCCAGCCAACAGGCCACGGCAGCCTACCTCAATCACCAGGGAGGAGTACGATCTGCGCAGCTTCTGAACGCAGCCAGGCGGCTGCTGTTCTGGGCGCGCACACACGTTGCTCTCCATCAGAGCAATGTATATTCCCGGCGATTTGAACAGAGGTGCTCGCAGAGCGCAGCAGCCGTTTATGCGAGGAGTACGGAGACTCAGACCTGTGTCACGCACACTGGCGGGTCACGCACACTGGCGCCTCAGTGGGATTTGGCTTTGGTGTTACGCGCACTAAGCAAAGCCCTTTTGAACCTTTAGATCAGGTTCACCTTAAACTGTTATCAGCCAAAGTAGGCTATTACTTTTGGCTCTAATATCAGCGAAAAGGGTGAGTGATTGTCCGCTCTCTCTGTGGCTCCGTCATGTCTCCGGATCCAAGGAGATGGCAGTTCAGCTGGTTTACGCCCTAAACCCGGCTTCATGCCTAAGGCTAAGGTCATCACAAACTCTTTTAGGTCAAGAGTGATCACCCTGGCTGGCTTCTTTCCCCCTCCTCACAGGCAGGGGCGGACTGGCCATCTGGAGAATCTGGAGAACCACAGAACGGCCGGTGGTCAAGGGCCGTTGACGGCCGGCCGGCCCTTTAATTGTTTTTGGTTTAACGTCATTTAAGTTGCGCTTCCGGCCGACAGAGGGCGACAGTGGCCGCTAATGCAGTTGTGTGGTTCTTATCTGTCAAATAATCACACACGAAGAAGAAAAAAGACCGGCCACACAGACGCCGCAGCAGACAGGGAGAATGACAAAACATGGATAAAAATCAAAGAAAAAGAAAAGAAAAAGGTGGGGCCGAGAAGGCAAGAGAAAAAAAGGTGAAGTTACTCGCAGATAATGCTAATAAATGTCGCAAATTGACAGACCTTTTTGGCAGCAGTGCTGCTACAATTACAAGCACTATCATCACCAGCAGCTTAGAACAAGTGCATGATGAAGACGAGAATGATGAGGGTGCGATGTCATATATACAGCCAGCCTCCTGCGTTCATGAGGGACAGAGAGTTGAGCTGGTGGAAGAACCAGCTCAACTGGCACATGCAAGTGCAGGGCAAGAGCAAGAGGTGGTAAGTACTATAGAGAAGACGAAGTATATTCAACCTAGTTTTTCCAGTTAGTGTGTGTTGCTCATGTAAGTGTAATAGACTAATATTTAAAAAAAAGTATAGATTAAACAAGTGTATTACTTGTCAACATTTATTAAGTATTAATTCAAGTAGTATAAAAATAATTAACATTATTTTTAACATTAATTTATAATTGTCTAGGTTGAGGATGGAACAAGGGCTGAGGATGACAGCCACTCACACGGCAGCTCAAGCCTGAGGTATTTTCAATGCCCAAATTCTGACAATCACAGTCTCAATAGTTTTTTTTTCTATCACCCTCAGACCAAAACAAAATATTTGACGGTACAAAGACTGTTTAAACGCATGAACGGCACAGATAGAAAATGGCTCACATACTGTGAAGAGAACCACACATTGTATTGTGCAGTATGTTTAGCATTTGCCAAGCCATCTGAAAACAATCCCTTTGTAAGTGGCATGCAGGACTGGAACCATATCAGTCAGAGAGTAGAGGAAGGACCATCATGCATAGAATGTGTGCGGAGGCCTACTTTTTGAGGGCATCCAAATCAGACATAGCCAGCCTACTACATGGATCACAAGTAGTGGCCCACAGAGATCAAGTGAAGAAGAAACGGCAGGTGTTGGAACGTGTGGTAGATGTAGTAAAGTTCATAGGAAAGAGAGGACTTGGCTACAGAGGGAAGGAATATGAGGCAGCATACACTCTAGATCAGGGGTGGGCAATTATTTTTTACAAGGGGCCACTTCAGAAACTCGAGCTGTGTTGGGGGGCCGAATCAAAAATAAGTTGAACTTAATTCTGCTCAATATACCAATACTGAAAAGGTGTTTTACAGTATGTTAAAGATAAGAAATGAATCAGCTTTATACAAAAAGAAATTAGTGCTTTTGATTTTTGTTTTCAGTTAATTTTACTTGTTCAGTGAGAAAAATCCAGTCTGTCTTGGGCTTGAACAAGTGCACGGAAATCTGGTTCAATGTCTGAGGTGGATATGCGAAGGACAGCTGAGAGGTGATCATCAGTGATAGAGGATCTGTATCTGGATTTGTTGAACTTCATCACTGAGAATGTCTGTTCACATATGTAGGTAGATCCAAAGAGGACCATCATCTTCTGAGCATGTCTCCTGATGTGTGGAAAGTTCTCCTCTTTCAGGGAAGAGTAAAACTCAGGCAGTGAGACTGACCTAAAGTGCTCTGACAGAAGTGTGTCAGACTGCAGGTCAATGAGTTCAAGCTGAACATCACTGGGTGCATCATCCACATGGCATGTAAATGGGGAAAAGATCATGTTCATTTCATTCTCAACTGTTTTGAAGTCTTTAAATCGCCTTGAAAACTCACCATGCAGTGCTTCTAACATGGATGAGTACCTCTGGAGGTGATCAGCTGATGGCGTGGCTTCCTTCAGTGTTGGCAAGTGCGTGAGAATGTTGTCCTCCATTTGGCTTGAGAGAAGCGTAGGAAGATGAGTAGCTGGGCAGTGTCACGTACATCGCAGCTCTCATCCAAAGCCAAGGAAAAAGTAGCTCTGTTCTGCAGCTGAAGCTCCAGATTTCCCGCGATGTCCTCAATCCTCCTCGTAACAGTGCGTCGGGAGAGCGGCACTTTCTCATTTCACTTTCGCAGAGTCCAACAAACACTCCTTAATGAACTCTCCGTCCGAAAACGGTTTACTTTTCTTTGCAATTTTGTGGGAAGACATAACTCGTCTTGACAGCTGCATCTCTGGATGTGGAATGTTTTGTGAAAATGTGTTGTTGGCTTTGCAGCTTAGCTAGCAAAGCATCCGACCCCTTTTGCCCGCTCTTCCTCAGACAGGTTATTGTATTTATCTGCGTGTTTGATAGCATAGTGGCGACTCAAATTGTACTCCTTGAACACAGCGACCTGCGCACCACAAACTAAACACACAGCTTTACCTTTCACTTCTGTAAATAAATACTTAGCGGTCCATGTCTTGTTGAAAACGTGGCATTCAGTATCGATCTTTCTTTTTTTGCCCTTAGCGGACATTTCGAGGACTAGCCGGCCAGCATCACT